GAGAGAAAGAGAGAGAGAGAGAGAACGAAAGAACATGAGAAAGTAAGCCACCAGGTCCAGGACCCAAACCACAATCGGCCATGTGGGAGTCCAGCACCTTAACCTCCATGCCATATGCAGATCCCCACACTGTGTCTTTTAACTGGAGAATTCAATGTATTTACATTCAAGGTAATCATTGAAATGTAGGAAGTTGCTACTGCCATTTTGTTACTAAATTTCCTAATTGTTTTATAGATCATTTCTTCTTTTCTTCTTCTTTCATTATCTTCCTTTGAAGTCAATTGATTTTCTTTAGTAGTACGTTTTGATTCCTTGCTTTCTATTACATTTTTTTTTTTGAGAGATTTTCGCTATAGGGCACGTGCACTTGCCAGACAGAGAGAGAGAGACATAGAGACAGAAAGCGAGAAATCACCCCCCCAGACGGGATGGTCACGCCACAATCCCTTCTCCTCCATTCTCCTCTCAGGATCTTGGGCACGCACGCACACGCGCCCGGCGTGAGTTTTAAGCCACCGTGTCCAGGACGCAAACCGCGGTTGACTATGTGGGAGTCCAGCAACATAGCCATTACGCTAACTGCTGGTTCTCTCTATTACATTTTTTAGTGGTATCTATTATAGGTTTTTGCTTTGTGGCTACCATGAGGCTTATGACAAACATCTTACAGTTAAAGTAGGTTATTCTAAACTGATAGCAACTTAACCTTGACCACATAGAAAAAGAAACACAAATGTGGAATGAGTTATGAATTTGCATGTCATCTTTGCACAGGGGTCATGCTAATCTTCTCTGTATCATTAAAATTTTTAGTACAAATGCTGCCCAAATGAGCATTGCATTATTTTTACTTACCCTTAACAATCTTGCACAATCTGAGATATTTTAAATCTCTATTTAAAAAATAATATTTTACTTCTTGAGAAGGAGAGAAAGAGAACAGACAGACAGGAAATCTTGACAGGGTCTTGTCACACTACAGTCTCCTCTCCACTAGTCTTCCAGCCAGCCGGAACCACAGGTGAACATGTGTGCCCTTGACATATTTCAGATTGACCCAGGATCTAAGCTGTGGTCTCTCATGCGGCTCCAGCATTGCAGAGTGGTGCCCTACTGCACCACTACAGCTGGGACAAATTCCTATTTTTCAGGTGAGGAGTCTGAGGTTTCAACTCTCTAATTTACTTCAGGTCACCAGGTTAGTAAGTGGCAGAACTGGGGTATAAGACTGAACTCAACCTCAAAGAACATATTTTCTTAGGCTTTGCTGTCCCTATAGCTTTTTAGGATCATGATTTCCCATTTGAGGAAATAAATAATTAAACAAAAATGTATTTTAGGAGACCATTTGTCTCTAAGTTATCACTGAATCATAAATGAAGATCCAGTGAGAAGAGAAGGCTCTAATACCAGAAGTGATCTCTTTGGAAAGGCTGTAATAGTCACTGGCAAAGGCCTTGGTGGGCTATGTTCTCTTACCTGTCACACAAAACCAGAAGTAGAAGCTGAAGAGCAGAGGAAGTTTTGACTTTCTAGATCAGCACTCGCTCCCCCTACTTAGGCAAAAATTCTTCTGTGGGAAAAATAAAAAAATCCCACTAAATGCAATGGTTTCTTAGAGGTAGCCAAATCATTCTGGTTTTCCAAACTGGACTGAAGTCTTGGAAGATCAGCCAAACTGATAAGGTAATTTGGTAACTTATGTCTTCTAAATTTTGAAGTATGAGGGAAGATATTTCCTTTCTTAAAGGATTTTCTTTCCCTTTACTTCTTGTTAACATAAGAAAACTGAGTACAATGATCTATTACGGTTCTTTCACTAACAACAACATATTTTCTCAACAGAGGATTTAATATAAGAGGGAAACATCTTCAAAAAAGTTCTGAATGAGGTCCAACTGGGTCTTATTCAGCTTCAGATATTGCAATGGACATAGCCACAATAGTAGTAAATGATTCTGGGAAATTCTGAGTACCATATGATCCAGTTTTGTTTAAACATTCTTTTTTATGAATAGAACATTGCTCTACCATATCAAATGTATTTTCAGACTGATCTATTATGAGTTTATTTCAAGATAACAACTAAAAGGTAGATTGAATGACTGCTCCTCTTGGTCTCACTGTATTGCTCTTGTCATCCTCACCAACACTGGTTCCCTTTTCGCATTGCGCTATACCCTGCTTTGACTCACCTACGGAAGGAAGAAGAAAGTTCTAAAAAGGTGCACATTAGTTGTTTCTTGAAGATAACTATCTACTTGTGATGATTAAGACTATATATATATTTTAAGAGAGATTTTTGTTATAGGGTGCATGTACTTGCCAGAAAGTCAGAGAGAGTCAGAGAGAGACAGAGAGAGAGAAAGTGAGAAATAATCCTCTGGGAGGATGGCCATGCAGCAATCCCTTCTCCTCCATTCTCCTCTTGGGATTTTGGGCATGAATGTACATGCACCCAGCATGAGTTTCAAACTGCTAAGTCTAGTATTTAAACTACGGTCGGCCGTGTGCAAATCCAGCACCTTAACCACTATGCCACCTGCTGGCACCAGAATATATATATATATATA